GCCATCATCCCTGTGCAGAGCTGTTTTTAAGAAACTTGCAATGGAGCATTCGTATTGCACCTTACAAAGCATTCTTCACACACGGCATCTTATTAGAGCTTCCCAACATCCCAGAACATGTGACTGTAATTCAAAGGTAAGGAAGATGAGGCCCAGAGAGATCTGAAGGTACTCTCCAAGGTCATGTTGTTAAAGTAAACCAGGGCTAAATTCTGGCCTTCTCTCACCAAAACCTGTGCCTTCTCCACTGCTCCCCAAGCCCATGGGAGAAGCTGTGGGGTAACAGATTTCTGGCTCAATGTGTGAGATTTATTTAGAACAGACTGAGTGACCCTGTGTGATAATGAGATTTACAGGAGGTCACAGTGGGTGGTCAGTGTTCTGGGTTGAATTGTGTCTCCCCCAAAAGATATGCTGAAATCCTAACCTCCTAGTAGCTCTGAATGGGATCTTAGCTGGAGCTAGGGTCTTTAGACATATAAACAGGTTAAGAGGAGATGCTTAGGGTGGGCCCTAAGCCAGTATGACGAGTGCCCTTATAAAAAGGGAGGATTTGGATGCAGACCTATGCACAGAGGGGAGACAATGTGAAGAGACACAGGGAGAAGACGGCCACCTTTAAGCCAATGAACGTCTGAGGCAACAAGAGGCAGGAGAGGGGCCTGAAACATCCTTCCCAGGACCTGCAGAGGGGGCATGGCTTTGCTGGCTCCTTGCTTTTGGACCTCTGGCCTCCAGAACTGTGAGAGAATGAATTTCTCTTGTTCTAGGCCATCTGGTTATGACACTTGTTATAGCAGCCCTAGAAAACTAACACAATTTTCCTGTAAGAAGTGCCAGATAATATTATTTTTTCATGAGGTTGGAAGTTACACCAGTACAGTGTCTTCTAACACTAAGATTTGATTCTGTGAATACGTGTTCTGATTTTTTTCACGAAATCAGATAACAAGATTCCCTCTCCCATTTGCTCAAAAATAAACTATGACAACCCCCAAATCTTTAACGAGTACAATGATTTTCTACCAGTGCAACTAGTCAGCTTAAACGCTATCAGATTTCTCATATGGAAAATTTAATAAGAGAGATTTATTTTCGTAAAAGATAAAATGTTTCACTAAAGAACTCATTAGTAATGCATAAAGGCCTACTGAGTCTCTGAAGATCCATTTTCAAAGAGAAATGTTGGGATAATTTTTATGTTCTGATTACAGAGAATGACTGGATAAAAACTGTCCTTGATATTAAAATTGCGTGGAGGGGAAAAAAATCATTCAGTCAAGCAGGAGGGAAGTCAAAGAAAAGGGGTGAATTTGGCCAGCATTTTGATGATGTTTTTTATAAAGGTAGATGTGCATTGTTGTAGTGTCACTTATGAATGGAACTGAGGCCACCTTTACTGGCACTTTGATGCCCAGAGGGACAATGGTAGAAAAGAGGCCTGTTAAGCCACCCTGCCAACCAGCTACCCCATCCGTTCCTTCTCATTAGGCCAGGTCTCGAGTGCCCTTCCTCCTTGCACAGCTGGGCCTGGCTGGAGCTCCCCCAGCTAGGCCCACGTTCCCAGGACAATCCATGAACGGAGGCGGAATCCATGCCCCAGCTTTGATAACGGCACAGCTGCATCCACTGGGTGTCATGTCTTATGCTCCAGGGTCCCACGGGGCTTCTCTCTTCACCTCCAAGTTCAAGGTCTGAGAACTCACCCTTCTCCCGCTCCTAGTTTTTGCCTTTGCCTCTGTAAAGCCCCTGCTGCATGTCCATTGCTCACCTCCAGACTTTTTGAGGATCACCCCCCTAGATCTGCCCTCGCTGTGGCCCACCCTCAGTAGACACCTGCTGATTTTTCTCAGACTTCCTGCTGCCAAATATTTCTCCAAAATGTAGCTAGAGTGGGTGGAGACCCTGAGACAACACACCCAGGGTGGAAGTCAGCATCTGAACTTGCATCGCTTTGGCCCAGGGGGCAGGACTAACTACAGACTCTGGAGTCTCTTCTGATAAATCCAGCTGGTGAGATAGGATACTACTTCCTCTCCCTCTTGGGACTGCCTATAAGCTGTATGTAGAGGAAGAATTTTCCCTCAGCAAACCCCAAATGTTCCCCATCCATCATGTTGGTTACATACCTAAGCTCTAGATGGTCCAGCAACTGCTGGTCAAATTTGTTTATAAACTGAATGGATCCATTATTAGAGAGTCTAATGGTTTTCTAGGTTTTCTAAAAAGAATTTCACATATGGCAATAATACTTGGTAGTATTTATTGAATGCAAATAAACACCAATATTGTTATTATTTAATAGTTATGTGCATGCTAAGCACTGTGCTAAATGTTTCAAATGCATAATCTCAGAGAAATTTCTGAGAGGGAGGCACTACTAATATCTCTATTTGATACATGGGAGAATTGCAGTGTGGGGAGTTTGTTCTCTCCTGGAGTATGTAAGTAGCAAGAGGAATAATCAGAATTTGAATCCGGATAGTGTGACCCCCAAAGCCACTGATCTTAATCACTATATTTCCTTCACTTATTCATATAATTATAAAAAAATTATGTTTATTGAATTCTCACAATGCTCCAAGTGCTTTACAGAAATGATTTCATTAGTGTTCACAATAATCCCCTGGGGTAGGTCTTATTTTTATCCCCATTTTGCAAATGTGGAAACCTAGGTACAGAGAGGTTAAGTAACTTGCCCAAGATCACACAGCTGGTAAGGGGAAGATCCCAGATTTGAACTTACTCAGCCTGGCTCCTGAACTGCCACACTCTCTGATATAAATTGCTGATTCCTACTGTGTACTGTCTAGTACTGTGCTAGGCCCAAGTGGATATAAAGATAAAAAGTAAAATAGTTCCTATTTTTGAGAAAGTCTAGATCTGCAATGCATTTGTACATGAATAGAAGAAAGGGAAGAAAGCATAGGAATAAGTAATATTTGAGCCAAATATTAGCCAGGAGAAGCATGTAATGTTTCATAACTCATACATTTTTACAAATCCAATTAAAGTGATTGAGTATATTTTATAAATATGGTTGACTTTTAATACATCAAACTAATAATGGAAGGAATACCCAAAGTAGGCCACTGTCAGCACATCTCCATCTATGAGGGCAGAAGGCAGCACCGCTGACAGCCTCAGGGACTACCCTGCTATGGGGAGATCGCAGGCTTTCAAAATTTGCAGATGAGCACCTGGGTTTCAGGCAGAGAAATGGAGTATGTATCTAAAACACCATGGCTTAAGATTTGTGCATGTATATATCAGGTATATATCAACACTTTGCCTATTGATAAGCCCCATAGCCCCAGAGGGGGGAGTCTCCCTAGGAACAGCAGGGTGGGGGGCCGGAAACTGATCACCTGCTTCAGATCACCCCAACATGGAACGCACCTGCCTGTCCTGGCATGTCATAGTTGGACACTTTGTGGGGTCCAGTGGGAGGGCATGCAGTCTTGTTTTTTTTTTTAATGTTTTTATTTCAGCATATTATGGAGGTACAAATGTTAAGGTTATGTACATTGCCCATGCCCCCCAGGGCATGCAGTTTTGAGCTATTTTACAGGCCCAGTGTTTTGTTCATTTTCAGTTGCCCAGTTTTGCCTGGTTGCCTTTGTGACCCATCCGGACGGCTGGGTGGCAAGAAGCAAGTGGCCCTGGCCCTGGAACCCAGTGACTCTTACAGGCCCTCACAGGGCTGAGCCGTGACTGGTGCTTTGTTTATCCAAAGCCCAGCATCTCCCTGATGGAATTATTCAGCCCTAGATCCACACCCAGCCCGCTTCCTGCACCATTCCGCCCCTTTCGTTCCCACAGGCACCATCAGGCCAGGGCAGGCCGTCAGATGTGGCCAGTGCTGACCGTGTGGCCCAGTGCTGACCGTGGCTGCCACATCCATCTCCCCACCACCACTCTCCATCCTCCATTCACTCAACAAACACTTGCTGTGCGGTATTCTAGAAACATGGGATACACCAATAACAGTAGCCTCACTAATAAGGTAATTCTAGTGAGTGGGGAGTTGGCCTGCCTGTTTCTGGAAGAAGCACATCGCAGGGAGAGAGAACAGCAGGGCAAAGGCCCCAGGAGGGAGCATGCCTGGCCCATCTGGGGTCAGCCAGGAGGCTGGGGAGCCCGGCCCCGGGAGCCAGTGTAGACAGCGCAGGAGAGAGAGTCTGAGAAGCAACTGCAGCTTGATGGATAGGGCCCTGATCATAGGGTCTTGGTTTTCTTCTTTGAAGGGAATGAGAACTGTGAGCAGAGGAGTGATGTGATCTGACTGACTGTTTAGAAGGATGGCTCTGGCTGCCGTGAGAAGTGACAGCAGGGCCTGGAGTAGGCCCTAGGCATGGAGAGACCAGCAAGGCCGTGGCCGTCATCCCGGCTTAACCAGGCTGCCGACAGTGGAGGAGGTGAGAGGTGTGGGGCGCTGCCTGCGTCTGGAAGGTAGAGCCATAGGACTTGCTGACACACTGGATGTCAAGTGTGAAAGCGACCAGTCAGGAATAACTCAAAGCTTTGGGGCTGCTGGAAGGGTGGACTTGTCATCAGTCATGATGCGGAAGGCATGGCTCGAGCAGGTGGAGGGAACACAGCTGAAGTCACATTCTAGGTGTTTTAAGTTTGCGATCCCTGGAAGACATTGAAGAAGAGGCATCGAGTCAGCAGCTGAGAGCAGGAATCTAGAGCCAGGAGAGAAGTGCGGTCTGCAAGTGTGTACCTGGGAGTCATGGGCACATGGAAGGAAGTGACAGCCGCGAGCTGGCGTCCTCAGTTATGGCCCTGGGTGCTCCTCTATGCTCCACGGAACCCCCAGAGAACTCCCTCCTCCCTGAATCTCTGAATCTCGTGCAGGTGTTCCTGCCTGTGAACAAGGCCTCCCACGTGGTCAGAGTGAGCCCCCTTTCCCTGTAACCCCCATCCAAGCCCAGGTGGGGCTGGAAAAACCCGAGTCCTTATACCTTTCTGCCTCCTCTATGAGTTTGCTCAAGATGTTTCCATTCCTCTATCTTCATCCCTATTTTGAATTGTCCAAATTCCACTTCCCTACCAAGGCCCAGCTCGGCTGACCTTCCCCCAGCCTTCCTGAGAAAGCATTTTTCCCCTCTCTGCACTTCTCCAGCCATCTGTACCTCTGCGGCGGCACTACCCCCTAACGCCTGCTATTAGCACCATCGGTATCAGTGCCAATGTCAGATCCCATCTCAGGCCTTTCCTGTGAGTTGCTCACGGGCAGATGCTCTCTCCTGACACTCAGAGTAGTCAGCGACGCGACTTTGGACAGGGTGGTACCAAAGAAGGTCCCAGTGAGAAGATGCCCTTTGAGACGTGAAGGCGGCAGGCAGAGGGCCTGGTAGCTTCAGGACTGAGCAGACAGGGAGTGCAACGGTCCTGAGGTAGGGGCGTGCCTAGGGCACCCTGGGCATAGCACGTAGGCCAGTGTGGGTGGAGCAGAGGGAGCGATGGCAAGAGCAGTAACTAAGACTGGGGAGTTGAGGACAGCGAGGGGACCAGATGGTGAACCTTATCGGCCATCATGGGGACTTTGGCTTTTACTCTGATTGAGATGCAAAATCAATGCAGTGTTAATGCACTGGACCATATTACCGAGAGGTTTCTATGTTCTTCACATATTTTTTTTTAAAATGTATTAGCAACTTTAATAAATTATGAGAAAGTGCATTATGTCAAACCCCGGATTGCTAAATACTGCTGATCTCATAAGGATCTCCATTTAGCACTGCCCTTGTGACCAGGGAGCAGGCCAGAGCCTGGGAGAGTGCAGAGGGCTTAAGTACAAGAAGGCCAGATGCGGCCGCCACCCGATCTGCAGTGCACATGCCCTCTTTGAAAGGGAATGGGCGGCTCTCCCAGCAGCCTCTGCCTGAGCCTTAAAATCCAAACAGCTGGGAATGGATCGGGCCTTCTCTGTGATGGCCTCTTGGAGCCAGGCTGTGGGGAGAAAGCCACCTGCCAATGGCCGTTCAGGCAGTGGACTTCAGATGTTCCTCCAAGACAGAGAGAGGAGAGAAAGGGGACAGGGAAGAGTCCTGGTCAAACTCTCGCCAACTCCCTCTACGTCTCACAGTGTGGGGCCATCCTCAAATGCCATTCCCTCCAGTTTCACTCTTCTCTTCAGTAAGATGTTCTATTTTTTAAAATGTGATGTGTGTGTCACAAAGAAAGAATTTAGTGGTCCCTGCTCTGCCTTCTGTGAGGGGCGGGGCCCACGTGGGCGGGAGTGTGGCTAGGTGTGTGGAAAGGAAGGAACGTAGTGAAAAGCATGGAAAATTGCCTCCGAATAAGTAAATTTTGAGAACACAGTTTCTATTTTCAGGATTTAAAGTTAACACATTGGATCTGCCGGATGCATTGGATCTTTAGACTTTTAGGGACACTTTCAAGCTCATGGTCTTCAGATACCGGAGCATTTACTTCTTTTCTTTTCGGCACATCTACGTGCAGTTCCTCCTGAGAATTTTCTAGAATTTATTTTCCTCTGACCTTCTCAGCGTTTCCCTCTGCAGGCCATTGCTACCCCGGTGGACGTGGAGTTCTCACCTGGGATACGTGGTCGTGTGTAGCACCACACACTGCTGGGAGCCTGAATAAATAGTGCCTTGCAAGTACATGTGCAACAGATCCAAAGTTATAAATTCCGCTGTGAGGAATAAAATGCAGATGTAGAATACAATCATTAATTGAATTCACAGTGACTTTTGTAAGGTATGTTCCCAATCTACAGATAGTGAAAACATACTCAGTAGTATAGGCACTCAGAGATAATTTTTCAATATTAGAAGAGGAATTTTAATTCTTCAAAAACCTTTAAGTAGTTAATAATAAGTAATAAAAATGAACGTAAGGTGTGAGCTACTGATATTCGAATTCTAAACCCAATGGCTGTGGTTAGAGCAAACTATGAATCATTAAGACCTAGGGAAAAAAGAGACATTTCTAGGGTCTCTTGGTCTGTGACCCACCACTATAGACTCATTTCTTGGAGTTATTTCCTACTTTTTCTGGGCAAGGACTTTTATAATGACAATAACCGTGAAGTCATTAAAACTTCAGTGCAAAGTAATTTGTTAATCACTTGCCTCCAATAAAAGAAGATGCTAGAATAGAAAGAAAATAGTAGACATCATGGAAAAAAATATAAAAGGCATGAAATCAGGAAAAGAACCCAGAAAAGGGAGGTAAAGTGGGAGAAGTGCTGCAAGTAGAAGAGAAACTTCTTTGTTTTGATCATGAGAGGATAGATTTTATCAAATACTTTTTATGCATCAATTAAAATGATATGTTTACTCCCCTCATTCTATTAATATAGTATATTGCATCTATTCATTTATGTGTGTTTGGAAGCACTTTGCCAAAAGCTTGGGTAATAGTTGACGTGTGCACCTATGCTTTTTTTCTATGAATTTGTTTTTTCAAGTTATAGCCTGGGCTGGATCCTTTCTAGAATGTTCTCACATGCCATGGAGACTTGAAATTTTAAAACTTTTCAATGTTTCAACTCAACACTAATAGCTAGTTCTTGGTCTTAATTAGTTGGTTTCACTCAAGTTAACACCAGGAGTAGAAGCTCTTTTCCTTACTTCAAAGAAATAACAAGATCAAGAATGGCACAGAGAAGAATTATCTATGATGGAAAATGGGGCAGGTTATGCAAAAGGAGGAATACTGGCACCTGGGTGTTCACTTGAAGAGATTTAACCAAAGTGTGGAGGCCTAGGAGGAAGGTAAGGACAGAGGCCTGCTGAACCCTAACCCAGCACTAGCCCTTTAACAGTATTCCAACACATGTTTAACTCAGCCAGCTTCAGTGACTCCAAAGCAAACAAGGAAAGCCTCTGATGACCACCATGCAGTTACACTTTTTTTTTTTTTTTTTTTTTTGAGACAGAGTCTCACTCTGTTGCCTGGATAGAGTGCTGTGGCATCAGCCTAGCTCACAGCAACCCCAAACTCCTGAGTTCAAGTGATCCTTCTGCCTCAGCCTCCCGAGTAGCTGGGACTACAGGCATGTGCCATGATGCCCGGCTAATTTTTTCTATATATTTTTAGTTGGCCAATTAATTTCTTTCTATTTTTAGTAAAAACGGAGTCTCACTCTTGCTCAGGCTGGTTTCGAACTCCTAACCTAGAGTGATTCACCCACCTCGGCCTCCCAGAGTGCTAGGATTACAGGCATGAACCACTATGGCCGGCCCAGTTACACTTTTTTTTAAAAAATTGCTTCTAAAAAGCCAAAGCTATCTCAAGAAATTGATAAACAGCTCTTTCCAAGGAATACAATTTCACTTTGCTAATTTTGCATTTCTGAAATCTTTCTCTTTTCTTTTAATTAAAAAATGTAATCCCATAAAGCATAGCTAGGACAAAAAGCTTAGGTGGCTTATTCTCTTAAATTTAATTATAAACATTATAAAAAATTGGAAAACATGAGGGAAGAGGAATTCACCCTTACAGGCACCACACTGCTATAATTACTACTGTGTTTGAAGACTCACTTTTGACATTTTTCATATTTTTATATAGTTATAATCTTGATGAATAATTTTTTCTCCTGATTATTGTCACCGAGCCCATCATACACTTTGTTTCTCTCTGCTGCTGGAGACTCTTCTCGTTTATAAAACCTATATTCTATTTGCTTGAATGAATGCACCACAATTAACTATTTATCCCATTTTGGTTCTTTACAGTTTCACACTTTGATAAATAATTTGTGACAAGCATTTTCACATGGCTCAGTCCTCCTTCTTTCTCTTTTTTATTTCCTCAGTGTAAGTGGAATGATTCGATTAAAGGGTATGGATTTTTGCATGGCTCTTACTGTATCTCTAACTGGCATATTCTTAAATGTAATCTTATCTGAACACTCAACATATCTACATGTTTTTCTCAAGAACTAATCATATTATATTGATTTTTATCAGACAATGAGCACATGTTTTTCTTTTTGCCTTAACTGCCAGGAAACTCAGACCTAAAATTCAATCCAATAATGAGTTCATCTCAGGTGACCTGTAATATGTTTCTCTTTTCTTTTAGGTCAATTTTCTACTTGGTTGTTCCTTAAGCAAACAAACAAAAAAATGCTGAATTTTAAAAGTTCCCTCTAATTCCTTCTATAAACAGGCAGGCTATAAACCGTACCCATATATGCACACAGACATACATACAAACATGGATTTATGGTACCTAACATAAAACTTTATATAACGAGCATCATGACATGCAAAGTTCTTGGAACTGGAATCTGTAAGATGATCTAGAACCATCTCGTCCTTGTATGACAGAGCCACTGAGGCTAGAGAGAGAATGTGACTTGTCTGGGATCACAGAACTATCGTATTTGGAGTCAGAGCTGGAACCAGAGACCAGGCCTTTGCATGCCCAATTCCGATCAAAGCGTGGGGAGCCGATTATCGGCTGTGCCCCACCCCTTGACACACCTGCCAGGGGCTCTGCCAGGAAGCATCTCTCTCTATGACAGTCTCACCTGCCTCTTTTCCTTTGATTGCCATTGCCCCCATCCTCTGTGAAGCCCACATCCATTCATTCCCTGCTATGTCAGTGTGCCGGGGCCGCCACAACCACGCACCACAGACTGGGCGGCTCAAACGACAGAAGTCTCTCCTCGCTGGGTTCTGGAGGCCGGAAGTCCAAAATCAAGGTGTTGGCAGGGTCGGTTCCTCCTGTGGGCCGTGGAGGGAGAGATCGTTCCAGGACCCTCGGCGGGAGATGGCTGTGTTCTCCCTGTGATGTCTCCTCACATCGTCCCACCTCTATGCTCGTCTCTGTATCCAACTTTCCTCATTCCCCCTTTTAATAAGGACTCACCCCAGTGACCTCTCTTTAACCTGATGATCTCTGTAAAGTTCCTGTCTCTTGAATAAGTCACATTCTGAGGGCATCCCTCAGAATGTTTGAACTTCAACATACGAATTTCGGGGAGATGCTGTGCAACCGCTCTTGGTTGCAAAGGTCATTTAATTAATTAATTTACTTTTAATTATTATTTTTTTATTTCAGCATGTTACAGGGGTACAAATGTTTAGGTTTCATATATTGCCTTTGCCCCACCTGAGTCAGAGGTCATTTCAAAAATGTTTCCATTCCCTACTCAAAGATTTTCATTGTGCTGACTTACCAAATAAAGAGCAAATTCCTTACTTGGGTGTTCAAGCTCCCCCACAGCCCTGTTCCAACGTGCCGTTGTTATTTACCTCCCTACGTGCCCCGTGGTCTTGTATACTGCAGTCCAGCCGAGTTACTCTCAGATTCCAACACACCCACACTCCCCTGCCTCTGTGTCTGTGCTCGTGGGCTCCTTCTGCCCAGAATGCCCTCTTCTTCCACTCCCACAGGCTCTTCCCAGATGCCCTCGCCTCCTTCTTGTCGCCTTCCCAGTCCCACTCAGAACCGTCTCCTCCTCCCCAGGGCTTTGTTTTGCTTACTTTGCTGGTGACTAGATTATGACCATCATATCACAGTCACTTGTGTGTTCCCTCCCGCCAGACTTCACCCTCCCTAAGAGTAGGGACGTCCCCATCCTTGCTTGCGTCCTTCTCTGTGCCTGTTCTTTCTCAACTCCCCTCCAACTGGTTGCTTGTACCCTTTATGAACACATAGGAGGTAAAAGAAATACTCTCCCATGGAGATTAACAGTAGTAAGACTTTAGGGCCATCTAAGACAGCTCTTATCATAGTACTTGCAGATTAAACATGACGGATGTTAATAGACAGTGGAATAAATAAAATGAAGTCCAAGTATAAGATTTAAGATTGGTGATGCATGGGCATGGGCAGTCTTGAATGGGGCATATCGTTTTTACTAGGAAAATCCCTTTGTCCTCCTGGTTTTCCCCCTCCGACAGAAAATTCCATGAAGCTCATTGCTAAAGAAAAGTAAATATCCAGATGGCCAGAGGGATGACCTTTTTCTAACAGAGGGGATGGATTTGTTATCCAGCCAAATGTTTGAAATTCTTCCACCAGCATGCATAATTGAGAGAGATGTGTTAATTACCCTTACGTGACAGCTGGTAGGACTTCCTAGACGAACTCTGAGAAGAGTATTGATCTGGAATCGCTGTAAGTCACTGTACTGTGGTGATATAAAGGTAAGGCCCTTGCAACGGTTTTGGAACGTGCAGGTTCAGTGTGCAGGTCCTCTGTGAGCTGGGGCCCGCAGGCACATGGCAGCCAGCCAAGGCTCTAGTCAGGCAACAAAAGCACCAGTGTAGCTCTTTGCATGACATTTAAATGAGTGACACAGGGAAAATCCCAAAGACGTAATCCCTATTATTACAATGGCTCTATGGCTCAAATTGGGCTGTTATCAAAGAGAAACACAATTCCAGAAAGTGGGGATGAGATTTCTGGTTGTTTTTTTTTATTTTTTACCACCTATAGTTGTGAACAGCATCCCCAATGCTGGCTGTTATTTAAGGGAACTGAGTGCACAGTTTTTGACTCAGCACTGTGGACATCTTGAAAAGGCAAACAGAAAATATGATCCTTGCCCTAGAGGAGTCACCGTCTTGGCGTTTGGGTGGAAAAATAATTGAATTCTCTGAAGTCTTTTCCAGGTCCAAGACTTTATGATTCTATGATCCCAGAAAGAGAAATAATTTTATCTTTAAGCATCAAAAATGTCATGAAGATTCTTTTGTCTAAAAAGCAATTCATATTTACTGACGAATATAATTTATCACATTGCTGCTACATTAAATTGTTCAGTTTTTATATCGCACATCAGCACAAGAGAGGTTTTGAATTTATTTTTCCCTTTCCCATTGCTGATTAAATATTTTTCTTTCACCTGGAGTCACATGAAACATGGATTACTTGATTTTTCTGAAATCCAATATGTCAGCTTCCAAAGTAACCGCTTTGTTGTTCATTCATACATCTCTGGAAAAACTATCTGGTTTTGGTTTAGTCTAAGAAAAATATATTCAAAGGTTTTTTTTTTTTCTTAAAATGTGTAGAAGAAAAATACACATCTCTTTTAAGCAACTGGAATCAATTTAAGGCTTTGGCACACACAGTGGAAAAATCAATGGAAGTTAAAAGTTGAAAGGCAAAGTTTGCCTCTGGCAAGTGTCACTAAACTTGTGTCCACCAAGAAAAATAAAAGAGGGATCTTTTGACAACCAACTACGATTTTAGGTCAAATAATTAATCAATCAACCAATCAAATCAATGTGGTTTTATTGAAGATATACTATATGCTAGATGCTGAAAGAAGGGACCTGTAAGATTGAGGCTTTCTCTCTATCATTCAAAAAGGTTTTCAACTTAACTAGGGAGATAACAGAAACATGCCCAGAGCAAGAATATAATGAATAAGATGCTATGTTGACAGAAGTTAAGAGTCTACAGGGCTGGGCATGCAGGAAGACCTCATCAGCACTGAATGATCTTACCAACGTTGAGCTTCCATAAATTCTTAAAATTCTGTTGAGAATCCATCCATATTTGCTTCTCAAGTGGACATGACCTTATAGTCCTTGAGCTTTATTCTTTTTCTTTGTCAGGCTCTACTGAGTCCCAGGAGACCAATGTCCACAGGCTCTCTCCTTCCCATGCATGCTTCTTCCACGTGAAAAATAAGCTAATAAGTAGGACATCTATTCCCCCCCCCCACATATGGCCCACCTTTCTTGTGCTGAAAGCCCTTCCGGTTTTTCTAGAAATGTTTGCTCCTTTGTTCTTTGCTCAGGTGGAGCAAATAAAATGAGAACCACCAAGGGGTGAGTTTCCCATTTATGTCCTAGGCCTTCACACTGGTGGCCCAGCCCCAGACACTCTATAGTGTCTACAGTTTGTTGCAATATAGTGTAATCGGTGTCATTTAAGTCACTGTGGTAGCAAGAAGAGACCATCATCAGTCTGGTTTCAGAGGGTAATGGAAGGCTTCAGAAATACGCATCTTGAAGGAAAGGAAAGAAAGAAGGTAAGGCTTGGAGAAAGAGAGCAAGTGAGAGTGCTCAACAGTGTCAAATACTGCTGAGAGGGCAAGGAAAATTAAGGGTTGCAAAAATGACCATTGAATATGGCAATTAAACAGTTACTGGTGATCTCATCAAGAGCAGGGATGGTGGGGTGTTGGGAGTAAAAACCAGGTTGGACTTTGGTGAGCAAGGGTTGGGAAGGAAGGCTGGACAATCCTTTCATGGAAACGGCCTATTAAATTAGGTCCTGCTGGTAGGAGATGGTGGGGGAAGATGAGAGAAAATTATTTTTAATGTCATGGAAAATGTCTCCATTTTTTTCATCTTTCCTGTGTGTGAGTAGAAAAAAGGGAATATGCAGATTAGCAGTATGCCTCCATGCTGGGGGCAGAGAAAACCCCACTTGGAATCTGTTTTGTTTTGTTTTTTCCTTTAACCAGTGTGTGTGTATGTGTGTGTTTGTATGAAAGACAGAGAGAGAGAGACAGAGAGAGAGACAGAGACAGAGACAGAGAGAGACAGAGAGAGAGAGGAAGAGAGAGACAGAGAGAGTCAATTATTGCATTTGTTCTTTTTATTTTTATCCCTTCTCTTCCCCTTCCCTCCTGGTCAGCTCCTCTTGGAAATAATTATTGCTTGGGTAACTTTCTGTCAAATGTCTTGAACTTTTCATGAGAAACCTACCATAAGAATTTGACAAAAGATATAGAAAGCCTACACATATATGATTTGGGATTTTGAAGCAATGATTTAGGCTTTTGAGCAGCCAATTTAAAGTTATATCAACCCAATATTAGCCGAGCATTGGGGACCGATTAGTTTTCTGACTTGCTCATATTTGCTTGATACATGTGTACCCTTCTTAGATTTTACTTATTTCCAAGTGGCATATTGTAAATAGGAATTTTCTTACTATAGCAATTTCTTAACTATGCACAGGGGTAATATTAATTGAAAGAAAATTTGAAAATGAGGGTAATTCATCTAAAAGTTAACTTTAGCCATTAGTTTTAAATTCAACCAAAGAATTTAACCAGAACTCCTGATAAGAAGTCAAGGCAGGGGGCTAACTGGAATATTACCTTTTAAAAATTTTTGTGAAGGTGATAATTAGTAGTTACTTGATTAAGAGTGTGCTGGCAATTAAACGATGGAAGAATATGGGCACAAAGCCCACTAGAACACAGAAGAGTGATTTTTCAACCTTTTTTTTAAAGCAGCAGATCTCCAATGAAGCCTTATGTAGGAGGTCAACAAATAACTCAGCTATAAGGCATAAAGGTCAAATACAGTTTCTCTAAATTAAGTACAATGAATATCCTTCCAACTTCTCCTCTCCTCAGGGACTGTCCTGGAGATAAGAACATAGAATTTATTATTTTAAATCTATATAATAATGCATTATGCTTGTAAGCATTTAATAGTTTGCAAAGCTCTGTCACTTTCATCACATCGCTTGATTTGTATAACAATTCTATGAGCTAAGCAGACTATATACCACCATTCTTATTGCCGCTTTGCAAATGACTTGCATAAAGCCATCTAGCTTATAAATGACAGATCTGGGATCCAAAACTTGGTCTTCAGAGATCTTATACTATGATGTACTACAAAATCCTTCACTTGTCAGATCATCACACTCCTGTCCAGGGTTAGGGTACGTAAGAGACTCTGGATAACATACCAAAGGATAATAGCACACATCACTAAATATTAAAAAGCAAATAAGTTGGTTTTTACATTTTGATCTGTATAAAAAGATAAGTTTGCATTTTTAATATAAATTTTAATGGCTGGGAATACTTAGCGTAGCCAATGATCAAATAATCACTCTTCCCACTAAACCACACTAAAGGCAATCTCTACAAAATCTAGGTGAATAAAATATATGACAAAGATTTTTATCCTTGAATAACATAAAATAGTGTTTTCTAAATATGGTTTTCCAAATGGATTAATCTAAGAACTTTTTAAAATGCAAATTCCTACCCCCTCAATTGAAAATATAAACCAATAAGTCTGGACTGAAGCCCTTCTTCAGATGTGAGGTGAGGTTAGGAAAACACTGTTAAAAAATCATACAACGGACTCAGCCTCCCGGTTACTTCCTGAAAGCAAGCTAGAAGTTTTGAGACAGGGCTTGTCAGGCCATAACAATATCATTTATTCAATTATGCCATTAAATTACATTCCTGTGACCAAAAGAGTTGGTGCATATCCAATTATGCCTAATTTATACTCTGGGACGTACTGGTTCTGGCTCAGTGTAAAATCCTAGCAGAATCGCAATTTAACAAGCTTGACGGGACATCGAAATTGCTATATTGTCTTCAAACCTCATTAAATGAAAGGCTACACTTTCCTATAATGTTCAGAGGGAGTATACACTGTTATTGGTTTGCTATTTGTTTATGTAAGGCAAATGTGCAGCAAATACTTTATTGGCAAACAACGACCAGTGAGAGGGAGCCACTGTGACAACGGGACATGCTGCCACCCGAGCAGGGATGCTAGAGAGAGGACATACTTCAGTGTCCTTCATGGTTACAGTATGTAATGGAACATAATATACTCTTAATAAATTTGTTGTGATGCAAAATGCCACTGTTGCGGCCAGGGCAGGCTGGAGGGAAGTGACAGCTGGCTGCTGTGGTGCACTTGGACCGTGACCTTCTATCCAGGGTGTCTATACTCAGTGTCTGACTTGGCACCTTCTTATCTTCCCCTGTGGTGCTAAGTGTCCCTTCTCCACCTTCTCTGCTGGTGCCTATGGCTCCTTTTAGCCCTCATGGTGGGCACGCCCCACTCTGCCACCCAGCTCCCAGAGTCCTCCTCACTCCATTGGTTTCTCCATTGGCACCTGCCCCACAAAACAGGTAAAATAAGAACTTTCTCATTAAGCTATTGTCGGACTCGATGGCATAACCACTGACACGTGCCTGGCTGCAGCCACAGGAAAAATGTAACTCTCTAAGCTTCAGTGGCCACATCCATAAAATGGGTGCAATCTCTCATAGGGTTGGCTGTGAAGATGAAGTGAAATAACACTTTGAAAGCACTTGGCATAGTTCTGGTCATATTAACACTCTATAAATAGTAGTGAGCCATCTCTTTTCCACTTGGAATTAGTCCTTCGTGCTGTCACCAGATTACACATCATAAACATCAATCTTCTCCCATCCTGTCATTCTCCTGCTCAGGGAATCCCAAGGCTTTCCCCACCCAACCAAACACCTTTAGGAAGAAGGACAAATCATTTCTTTGGCATTCGGGTCCCCCATAATGTAGAGGTGGTACTCGATGGAACACATTACCCACCGTGCCTCTCTAATGGAAGGGGATTCTCTTCCTCTCGTTTGACTGATCACAATGATGAGAAACTTCTAGAGGAAAGCACGTTAAAAAGCATTCGAGAATTGTTTATGGCTCGAATCAGAGAATAAAAGAAAGGGAAATAGCTTAGAGAGAGAGCTCTTGTTTTGGCTTTCCAGAAGACAGAAGCTTCCCAGGAAAGAAGCAAGAAGACGTGGCCACGGCCCCGGGGGTGGGGGGGGGGGGAAGGGGCAGCAGCCAGGCCCCTGGATATGCAAACGCTAAGGCAGCGCTGCAGAAATCTCAAGTAGCTTTACAAGGCATGGTCCCTGAGAAAACACTGCAATACGCTCGCCTCATAAAGAGCTGAGAAAGAGTCCAACAGGAAGAAATCTGAGAGGAGGAGAGCTTACTGCTCTGAGACCACGTAGGTCTGGGACCGGGAAGACCCGCCTGCCCTAGTTTCTAGTGACCACAAGTAATCCGGAGCAGCCCGTGCTCACGAGACAGGAAGGTTGCAGGACTCTCAGTCAGCATTTGCTATTGATGAATTAATAGAGGCTGCTGGTGTTTTCTGTTAACTAAACCCCTCATCTGAACTGGTTTGTTAAATTGGGCCAGTGGAGCTGGACTGACTTGTAGGGTTTCTTTCCCCCAGGGCTGGGGGAGAGCTCAATGCCAAGTGAAGCACGATACAGCACTTCCTGCCAGTAACTCAATTCCCTTGTACCGGAGCACCTCAGACACCCCGGTGACCTCAGCCTAAAAGCGTATGGAATGACATCCTGCCACCCAACCCACTCTCCTCCCTTTCACAGGTCCCGAGACAGACCACACTCAGCTCCGTTCCATCGCACTGCGCCTGTTTTTCCTCCTGCCCGAAATGCTCAGAGACACAGTGAGGTCATTAGAAACCAGATAGATCCAGATCTATCTAGAAAAGAGGTCTGGACACAAAACCCACCTCTTCTGTTTACTAACCATGCAATCCTAAAGCATTCATAGAAGCTCTCTCTCTCTCTCTCTCTGCTTCGTTTTCTTTCTCTGTAAAATTAGGGTACCTATTTTAATGACATGGTTGTAAGGATAAATGGAAAAACACAGCAAAATGCCAAGCAGAGTGCACAGCACATAGCAGGCAATCAATAGGTGTTCTCTGTCCCCCAGTCCATGTTAATGTCATTACGTCTAGCCAAATATCACATATGCCTGCAAGCCCAATCCCAGTCTCCTCTCATTAAGGAACCTTCAGTTAAACCTCGTAATTCGAATTCTAGTCATCATCTCCCATTCTGAAGTCCTACTTAGCTTAATAGCTCTGCCACTAACTTGGGCACATCAACTGCCATTGTTACTCATTTATTCCGACGCAGATGTCTTGTTTGGCCCATTCGATAGATGTTTCTGGAGGGGACAGCTAGTGTCGATGACAATTCTGTCTCATCGCTCCAACCGCCTACTGTATCTATCAATCATTGTTATAAATGCCCAACGGATTTGTGTGAGTAAAGGAGTGAATGAAAAATTCCCCGTGCAAGGGTAAAAGGCCAGTGCCAACCTGACTTCTTACTACAATGACAAACCAGTATGTATTGAGTGCCCAAATTTTTGAAGCAGTTCAATGGTGCTTGGCATGGAAGAGGGAGTGGAGTAAAAGATGGCGTAGGTGAAGAGGAAGATGAAGAGAAAGGTAATGTTGCAAGGGTTACATGAAGTCAGGTGGGAGGTTCGGTGGGCTGCCTGGAACTATTACTGGTTCTGAATTAGACAGGAGGTTAGACAAGTCGAGGCATGTGACCCCAATCATAATCTCTCCTACTCACATCTAACAATTCAAAGAACACTGATAAAGCAAAGATTTCCTTTGATGCTTTGTCCCATCCTCACTTTAGAACAGAACTTCATGTTCCTCTCTGGTTTCTATTTGTGTTCATGTTCTCTACATGGTGGAATAGAAAGCTGGCTGTCCACTAAAATTCATTCTCTTTTACTTTCACTATAATAGAGCTATGGATGGGTACACGGTCTTTCCAAGGCCTGCATTTCCAACCCTCCTTGCTATCAGGGGTGGCTATTTGACCACAGGGTGTGAGTGGAAGTTAGGTGTGCAATCTGTAAGTTGGAACCCTTAAGATAGTGAGTGGGCTGTTTTCATATTTTCTCCTTCC